TCTCAGAAACAAAGTTCTCAAAGTCGTTTTCTCTCGAACCGAGTTGCATAGTAAGAAGACTTAGATTGACTAATTTCTCAGAGACAAAAGCAAAATCCAATTCAACTTTTGTCAAAACTTCGCTTGCACCTGATAATTCTGGATTCATCATAACTTGACCATTAAGCGAGATATCTTCTTTCGTTGAGCTAGGCTCTGGTACGATGCTGTCGTTATCATCTACAGACACAGTTCTATGATGTTCCGTTTCCCTTTCCATGTCCAACACTAACGTTGAATTTTAAAACTGCAAATAGAGAAAAGAAAGAAAACATAAAATTTTGTCAAGAAATTGAAATAAGATCCGAAATCAGGGTTCCGATGAATTTCGGATTCTACAGAAACCGATCTTTAATTCCGACCGAGTTTGAGATCGAGACAAAAAGAGAGAAAGCTTACACTTAACGAAATCGCTCGATTCAGGATCGAAGAAGCTGTGAATGGGAGGAGATTCGAGAAGACGAGAGAGAGAGATCGAGAACACAATGGAATCGGGTTTTGTAAACTCTTTACTAATTATTTTTAATTGATATTTTCAGTTTTCAACTAAAGAAAAAGTCTTTTAACAATTTTTGTTGTTTCCAGATTTGGGACATATATAAACATCAAATAGAGAGAGACTGGTAGCTATATATTGCAATGTTCAGTTATTGACAGCAAATTTTGATTTTTCAAGTCTTTGAATGTTGCGTTGTACTGAAGTAGTATTAATTTACATAAAAAATAGACAATTTGATTATTACATTTATATATGAAAAATAATTGAAGTGCAGGCCAAATCTCTTTTTTTTTTCATTTATTAGTATATTTTCATCTCTACATTTTCACAACATAAATTGGGGTCTTAAACTTCCAAATATTTCTGTACAATTTTTTTTGTTTAAGAAACTTAATAATTACACTGATCATCATTCACTCCTCAAGAGTAAAGAAATTCATTATGTTGTGGTGCCTATTCAAGTCTCTATAATCTTCTTGTCAAGGGTAAATCGATACACAGTATACAAGCTTTAAGCCTAGCTCATGAGAAGCAACGCTTCACGAGTTCGACCCAAAAGACTCAGAGCCGTTGCTGCTATGTGATGTCCGGTTAGACCCGCAAGAGCAAGCTGCTCGTTAGGCGAAGCTTCTTCAATGTAGCCATCCGGTAACACAATCGGTCTCCACTACCAATGTTTTAGTCACAAAAAGAGTAAATTAGAAGAACTTTGAAAAGATGTGGTTTTCGATTTGTGTGTGTACCTTGATATTCCCATCGAGCTGGCCATCGAGGGCTATGAACTGCGCCACGTGAGAACCAAACCCTCCGACACAGCCTTCTTCGACAGTGATAAGGAATTTGTGGTTCTGACAAAGATCACGCACGAGCTTAATGTCGAGGGGTTTGCAAAATCTTGCATCAGCTACAGTCACGTTCAAACCGAGTTTCGAAAGAAGCGAGTGAGCATTCAGACAATTCTGAACCATTGCTCCATACCCGAGAAAAGCCACGTCTTGACCTTCTACAAGAACTCTTCCTTTTCCAATCTACTCTAATATGATAAAGCAGTTTTTGTGTCAGCACGAGAATTTATGTTTTGCAGCAGAAAGATATGTAGATTAGATTGGAACTTACTTCAATTGGTAATCCAATGGGGACTAGATAATTCCTTTTGACGATGGAGCCTCTGGGGAACCGGAAACAAACCGGGAGGTCAGTGACGTAAGCTGCAGTTGCAACCATATTTACAAGCTCATCCTCATCGGATGGAGCCATGGATATCATGTTTGGTAAAGATGACATGAAAGCTATGTCAAAAGCTCCACACTGCACTGGACCATCAGATCCAACAAGTCCTGCACTTGTAATAACAAATCGTACCGCCTTTCTCTGCCTATCTACATCATGGACCACCTAGTGAAACAATCGAAGACACTAAAGCTCTTTGCTTATGATAAAATACCTTTAGAACAATCTTCCTCTATGCGAGAAAAGAGTGAAACCTGGTCATAAGCTCTTTGTAGAAAAGCAGAGGGAATAACGCAAAAGGGCTTGAGACCTCCAGAAGAAAGACCAGCAGAGAATGTGACAGCGTGCTGTTCAGCCATTCCGACATTGAAGAACCTGTCTGGAAATCTCTCCTGAAATGTAACAAGTGATCGATCCATCTGCATTCCTGCATGAACCACAACTATATCTCTATCCTTTTCGGCCTCCATCACCAAAGCCTCCACAAAGCAATCACTATAAGTGCGTCTGTCTGAGACACAAAAATGAAACCGTCAAAACCATAAAGCATAAGCATATATTGTCAAGAAAATAACATTAGCAGAGAGAGGTAGATATATACCTTTGACCACGATTTTATTTCCTGTTTTTGTATCTCGATTCTCTTCTGTGATCACATGGACCAACACAGGACCCATTGAATCTAGAGAAGCCACTTCCCGGAGAACACAAACTAGATCTTCAATGTTGTGTCCATCAACAGGACCAATGTAGTACAAACCAAGTTCC